TATATATATATATACATATCAGAGGACAACCTCAAGTGTTGTTTCTCCTCAGAAACCATACACTTTGTTTTTTGAAATAGAGCTCTCATTGGGACCTGAAGCTTGCCAATTAGGCTAGTGACTGGCCAGTGAACTCCAGGGATCTGCCCGTTTCTGCTTCCTGAGTGCAGGGATTACACGCATAGTCCATCATGCCTGATTTTTTACAAAGACGATGTGGATCAAACTCAGGTCACTTTACTGAGTTATATCCCCAGCCTTCAAAATGGTATTTCTTAAAAGATTTTGTTTCTGAATCTAATGTTATTGATAAATATAACGCATAGCTTAACATTTTCCAAAGTTAATTAATGCATACCATTTAGTTCAATTCTCTACTAGAAAACAAAAGTAGTATGTATTTTCATTATTGCTTGAAATATTTAGATATATTCATTCAAAAGAATTTGTTGAGGGCTGGAGAGATGGTTTAGTGGTTAAGAAAACATGCTGCTCTTGCAGAGGACAGGATTCTATTCTCAACACCCACATAAATGCTAACAACCTTCCATGACTCCAGCTGCAGGGGATTCATCACCCTTTCTGGCCTCTGTGGAATTTGAAGGCACAAGTGCACTTACATGCATGGAGACAATACACTCATACACATAAAATGAAACTAAAGAAATCCAAAAATTTTAAATGTCATTGAATGTTAATACAGAAATTATAGAGCGATTATAGTCTGATTGAAAATAAGCTTTAATCATACCTCCTACTTATTTAAATCCAATATTTTTAATAATTTGATTATTTTAATTTTTATATGTGTGTGAGTATATTGCCTGAATGTAAGTACACCTGTGTTGTGCACTGCCTGCAGAGCTCAGAGGAGGGCATTGGCTTCCCCTGGAACTGGTGTTACAGATGGTTGTTAGCCAGCAAATGGGTGCTGGGAATTGAACTTGGGTACTCTGCAAGAGCAGTCAGTGTTCTGAACTGCAGAGCCATCTCTCTATCCCGCTAAACCAAATCTTTACCATTAACCCATAAAGTATAAGAAAATACGTTTTTCAATATAATGAATTGATATTTCACAGTTTGTCATTTTGTAGTATGGTGCTGATTATGATATAATATTTACATATGGAATAGATTCATAGAATGCTAGTAAATATTAGAGTCCAAATGAAGTACGCCACTTAAAAAATTTAGGGTGAACAAGTCAATAAAGACACTAAACTCAAGCACAGACACATGATCAGAACATTTGCTTCTGTTCAGTGATCTCTTCTTTTAAACCGGGATAGTAACATATAGGAAAGTTGTCAGCGAAAACATTCACAAGTAAATGGATTCAAAACAATTGTTCCATGCATGGTAACATCTCCTGGTTCTGCCAGACAAACAATCCCACTAAAAATTTATGAATCAGATGCTAACACATTGAGATTATACACAGGCATATCTGAATTTTAGGAAGGTAATTATATTTTGCAGTGCATGCTCAGGTGCTATTTGTAGTGGTGTTTTATTTTTAACATTCATAAAACAAGAATATTCTGCACATCTACTAAGTTAAATCTACTAACTTAAAAGTAGCAAGGATGTTTTGTGATTAATGTAAAAAACAGAAAAATAGTTAACAGAATAATTATGTTTTGTTACAATGTTCACATTTTGCATGTTAACCATTGTTTAACTGATCTGTTCATTACTGTCATTGCTATTGAGAAGTTTCCCCAGCAGAGGGAAGTATAACTTCATTATTCTTATAAATTATTGAAGTAGGGAGAATGAGCTAGCATTACAATTTTACTTCATTTTAAATGATGAGCAGTCGATGTTTCAGATTAAATAAGCAAGTTCGACATTTAAAAGATCTCAATATCTTCTAGGAAGCATAAAACAAATGTATTCCAAATTGCCCAGCTCTAGGAATATTCAACTAGTATGTTAAAGACATTAAAACATGACCTACTTGACCAGACTATTGTGTGTTTGAGAGAGAGAGAGAGAGAGAGAGAGAGAGAGAGAGAGAGAGAGAGAGAGAGAGAATATGAGAATATACTGGGTTAATGCCTTCAATTTATAGATCAATAATTTGCATGGTCTGTTTTAAGACTTATTTTCTCTAGTCTTTGATATATTTTAATGGACAATTCTGTTGCCTATCTCCCCAGGTTGCTAATATATAAAAAGTATATATTTAGATCTAGCTTCCTTTTGTTCATATAACAAAGTTGAGTTCATAAAATATATCTTTTTTTCTTTAATATTTTTTTCTGCTAGATTTTCTTATCTTTCACTTGTATTTCTTTAAGTATTCTGGGAAAGATGTGTGTGCTTCAAAGGTTCCTGTGAGTGTGTGTGGTCACATCAGTATTTAGAAGATTTAAAGTCGAAGAGTCTGACTTACCATGGTGTTGTAAGTCTGAGCAGTGAGTCAGTGGGTCTCCATTTCTTATGTCTTGTCGTCTTGTGCGTCTAAAGTAATTACATTTAAGAGACATTATTGTATCACTGTTTTACCCACTAAAGAATTTCTCATAAGAATGAAGAACCAAAATCTTTATAATGTTAAAGGACACATACATGTATTTGCATTTAGTTTTAATGCAGTTCAGTGTATGTATAAGAGTGATTTTCTAGGTGATCAAACTGGGAAGCAGATATACCAAATCCACCAATTGGATGCAGTATTTTGAACTACCTGTAACAGAATTCACGGCTTTTTCTCTACTAGTTATCAGTAAATAACAATTTAATTCTTGGAAACTCCGATCTTATCTTCTGATGTCATGAAATGCAAAATTTTGAAATACAACCCTTCCTTTAATAGAAAGAATTGAACTCTTTTTCTGACCATTAAGTTGGAGGTAGGCTTGAAAATTTTTCTGTAATTATGCTTATACATAATTCTTAAATATACTACTTGATATTTAAAAAGATGTAGAATAGGCACACTCTCTTTAGTTGGTTTTTAATTTTTGTTATGCTAATATTTTGCAGAAAAGCTTCTTTAATTGTCATTTTTTATTTGTTTTATTTTGTGTTCATGGTACTAAGGTATTGAATTGAAGGCCTGATGCATGTGCGCTTCCATCGAGCAGTACCTCACTCAGCATTTGGATTTTGTTGTTTTTAAACAGTCTCACTCTGTATCCCTGGAGAGTGTGCTGGGATTGCAGCCACACAGCACCATGCTTGACATATTATATGATTATAGTTGTAAACCAATTTACCTGGGCACTGAAGAAAAAGAGGAAAACAATAGCAAATGTTGAATTTAAGGATAAGGAGATGAGAGAACCTAGATATGTCTATCATTAATAGAACATCAGGATATTTCTAAAACCAAAATTAATTTCTTGTACATTGACTGTTCAGCTAGTATGTGAGTTTCTCAGCAGTTGGACCCTCTTTCTCTGCACTTTGCTACCAACTGATGGGGGGAGGAAGAGATATGTCTTGTTATTAGATACAAAAAAGGTATGTAGATTAAAGGAGAGGTATATGGAGAGTGGCTATGTGTAACAGACAAGAAAAGACTGGGCACACTTGACTGATTTTATTTTCTTTCTGCATCTATTGTAAAGTTAATGATTAACTACAAAATTAATTATCAACCTTGAAAAGAGACCTCATAATGGCCATTGAGAATTATAAATATGGAATTCATTACTGCATTCATAAATTTAGAAGTTTAAAGTATTTATATATTTCTATGTGTACACGTAGGAAGACTACCAATCAGATGTGTACATTTGAAAACTAAGCCAACAAGAGAACTTGTGAAACCTGAACCACAAAGCATTTGGGAAAGCATTTCTCAGTCATTTAAACTTGAGGAAAATGCCATCACAGAGACTGTGGAAGTTGTGAGGCCTCTGCACATCCTGTTCAAAGATACAAGTAGTGACAGACACATGAAATTGGATTCAGTTAAATCTGTAAGGCACACCAAAAATGCATTAATGAAAATTCAGTCTTGATTTTTGGGTATGAAAGAACACATTCAAATATATAATGCACAAGCTTTAACTTGCAAAAGTAATTATTTTTTCAGTTATTTAGATTAATTCTTTAAGAGATTCATACAATGTATTTTGATCATATTCCTTTCCCTCCCAACTTCTCTCAGATCCACTCCCTCTTGTCTACCCATTCACATTTGTGCTTTTTTTTTCTCCCATTGTCCAAACACTCTTGAAAGTAGTACCAGACCTGGAGCATGGTCGACCATTAAAGCAGTTATCATATGCCAATAGACATGGGTTGGAGTTGGGATTTCATGCCTACCTCCCCATGCCATGCTGGCATTTATTTTTAATCTCTTCCTTTGTTAAGAAAAGTCTTATGTTACTAAATATTGGAATACTCTGTATTATTATTTCCTATAAAAGAAATAATATTCACTTTTAGTTTAAACATGAATTCCATATGTTCCATCAATGGTATTAAGAAGGATAAACATTTAATCTTAAATAATTTATAAGTTTTGCTGATAGTGACTGTATATTGCAACTTATTAAATTATCCATACTTTATTTAATAAATATGGTATCTTCAAGCTATTTTTTTTTCTAGTGTAAAGTTCCAACAAATTACACAATTAATAATCATAACACATACATTTGGATTTTGGAAAATTATAATAACTTTATTTTGCATATGGTTTGGATTAGTTGTTTTTCCACTTAGTATGATTCTCTGTTCTAATCATATATTTTATGATAGTTAACTTGTAGGTGATTATCAATATTTTAAAAATATAAAAATATTTTATTTATTATTCTTTTTATGTGTATGTGGTATGTGTGTATTGCCTGCATGTAGGTTAGTGCACCTGTATCATGCAATGCCTGCGGAGGACGGAAGAGGCTGTAAGAACTAGAGTTATGGACAGTTGTTAGATGCCATGTGGGTGTTGGGACTCGAACATGGGTCTTCTGCAAGAATAGTCAGTGTTTTTAACAACTGAGCCATCTCTCCAGTCCACAATATTATTTAAAATTTTAATGAAGAGATTTAACTAGATTCTAAGGCATGTTTTCCTATATTTTTAGTATTTCAAATGCTGTAGAACAAAAGGCAGCACCATGAGCAACTGATACACATAGCTTCTTTGAAAATATCACCTATTTAAAAAAATAGAAAACAAATTATATTGCTTCTAAGATGCAGTGGCTTGGTAATGCTGATTTCTATTGTATATTTGAGTAGTTGATGTGCAGGGCTTCAGCTTTAGGCCACTTTAACAAGTACTGCACATCCTTTCATTCATCATGGCTTCTTCTCCAAACAGTAGATATCAGTAATGAAAGGTGGCGATCAATGAAGAGTAGAGGATATGGGGAGATGGCTGCTTTATAAAATTAAGATAGAGTTTAATTTTATAAAACACAAGTGAACTAATCTATCTGTAACTTTAGGATCTGTCTACAAGCTCTCTATAGCACAGGGGCATTTCTTGAAAATAATATTATATTAAATGATAAAATGCACTTTTTTTGGTCTTTTTGAGACGGTGTATACCTGTAGTTCCAGCTGGCCAGGAACTCACTATGCAGACCAGGCTGACCTTGAACTCACAGAGACCCACTTCCCTCCACCTCTGGAGTGCTGGGACTAAAGGCATGTGCCACCATGGCCACCTTTAGAATGCCCATTTATATATATTTATTATTTTTATTTTATGTGTATGAGTGTATTGCCTGCATGCATGTAAGTGCACTTGTGTCATCAAGTTCCCACGAAGGTCAGAAGAAGGCATTGGATTCCCCTGTAACTGGAGTTACAGACAATTGTTAGCTGCCGTGTTTGTGCTAGGAGTTGAACCTTTATCCTCTGCAAGAGCAGCCAGTGCTCTTAATCACGGAGTCACCTTTCCAGTCCCCAAATGCCAATTCTTCATGCATTCTATCTTGCAAATAAGAGGCTGTAGCTATGTTTTGTTTGTATGTATTGTTTTCAATAACTTTTTGTTTGTGTCTATGTCATGTGTGTGTATGTGCTTGTGTATGCATACATAGGTGCTTGCACATTTGTTTGCCTTTATGTGTGTGTGAGTCAGGGTTAAAAAAGGATTTCTCTCTCTTTTGCTCTTCCTCTTATTACCATTTTTTTTTGAGGCAAGGCCTCTCATTGAATCTGTATCTCACCAATTCAGCTAGATAATCTGTTCAGTATGCCCCCCGAGATCTTCTTGTCTCTGTACTCCTTCCAACAACTTTATAGATGCATGACTCCATGCCAGGCTTTTACTGGGTTATGCGGATTAAAACTCAGACAAGATACTTGCCCATTTTACCAACTGACCCATCTCCCCTGCCCCTGTCAGTAACTTTGTAAGTGTATCTTACCTTCCAGGTAAATATTTTTAAATATTGTCAAAAATATACATAAAACATTTGGATATAGATGATAGATTGATTGATATAGATAACTAAAATGGATATTTTGCTATGTAGTCAAACCCTGCAAACACAAGATAATATAGTAATAAGACAGGGGCATTTAGAATTTATCAAGGCATATCAGGAGCTAGTTGCTAGAGAATGCAAGTTGACCATCACTAATATGCCACAGGCATCAATGCAATAATTTTTAAAGTAGGCGGACATCATCTTCTTGATTTTCTTTGTGGTGTGTGTGTGTGTGTGTGTTAATATGTATGTATGGGGAAGGGGGGTGGATACATGTCAAGGTGAACCAGGGAAGGTCAAAGGATAATCTTAGGTGTCAGTCCTGTTCTGGCTTTCTGCCTTGCCTGAAGCCTAGCTCTTTGCTGCTGCACTGAGTACGTCGGCTAACTCACATTCCAACTTCAGGGAATCCTTTCTCTGCCTGCCATTTCATTCGCTATAGAAGGACTGGGAATACAGACATGCACTTCCATATCTGACTTTATATGGGTCCTGGGGTTTGAACTCAGGTCCTCGGATTATGTAGCAAACACTTTACACATGAAGTCATTTCCCCACACTTCTTGATGTTTGAGGATTGAGTACTTTTATATTCCCTAAGATTCCACAGGCAAATGAACCACTTTCTGTGAGAATTATCTTTTCATTTTGCAACATGAATTGCCTTATGAAGACTTTAAAACATGATAGACTATCTTTAAATAGAAAAAAGGTAGCATTTTGAACAATAGAATGATGTGTGCCAAAAGTAAAAGGCCTAGTTTCAATTCTGTTTTCTTTCATGACTTTCACTGTGACTTTGGCCCTATTTCTCCTTTCTTAAATCAAGTTACAAATCTAATTTCCAACTGTAAACACTCAGGGATATTTTTCTTCCACCTTTAAAGTCTTTCAATCATTTTTTTCTATTGCACTTGGTGCTCAACTTTCCTGCTATACATCTGTCTGCTTGTTTTGTGATTTTCAAGGAAAGAGGAAAAACAAACCACTACCACCACCAAAATCCCAAAAGAACAATTAAAAAAAAATCTATCTGCTTACTAATCCAAATCTCTTTATTCACTGCCAGAAGGTGATATACTTACTTGAAGAAGGTTATTCTAAAACAAAATCAAATAAAGCTACTAGGAAACACTCTATTTCTTATTTAGTATTTATCTTACCTCTTTGCAGTAGGAAAATAGCGTGAGCATGAGGACCCATCCCAGGCACAGTAAGGGTCTCTGGCCAGGCAACACTCTGCACAGGCTTTGCCATAAACATCACAGCGGTGCAGCGGTAGCTGGGCCACCCCAGCTGCCGACCCAATGTACAGTTGTTGCTGTAGAAAGAGTTATGAAAATACATTATGTTAAAATATTTTTAAAGCTGGGCATGGTGGCACACACCTTTAGTCCCAGCACTCAGGAGGCAGAGGCAGGCATATCTCTATGAGTTTAAGACCAGCCTGATCTACAGAGTGAGTTCTAGGACAGCTGGGGCTACAGGGAGATCATGTCTCAAAAAGACAAATAATAATAATAATAATAATAATAATAATAAAATAAAAACTATTAAATGAAGAATTTCTTCAGACTTATTAAAGATAAGTTTATAGTTTCTTTCAAGGTCTAGCAGATAATATGCCAAATTTAAGTGGAATGCAAACAAATTTTATGAACCTGACTCAAACAGGGAAGACAAAGAATGACAGCTTTTTTCTTTCACTGCAGGACTGATTAGTCATATTAAGCTTTCAGTTAAAGTTATATAAATGCTGGGCTGGAGATGGCTCAATGGTAAAGGCAAGGGTGACCAAGCCTGGGGACCTTAGCTGGATAGCTGGGACTCACAGGGCCAAAGGTGGGAATTGATTTCCCCTAATTTGTCTCTCACCCCCAAACCACAATTTGCACTGTGACAGCAGGCACCCACCTACACACAACACACACAAAATAAATGAAAGTGAAATGAAATTTGTTTAAAGTTATGTGAATGCTAAAACATGTAAAATTAATCCAAAGACAAAAGCCTTTAGAAGGCATGTTTCAATTTCTACAGTATGTAGATGAAAAAAAGAGTTTTGGAAATTCCTAATTGTAAACAATAGGATCTTTTAACATCATAATTGTCTAACAGTAAGAAATAGATATAATTAAAAATGCGTTTATGAAGACTTTCATTAACCAACTAATACATAAATAGATAAAATGAATGCAAAGTTACCAAAGTTACAAGAGCTGTTTATATAGAAAATGTTCAGTGCTTGAAGCTGACATTTATGATCATGTTTTGATAAAAGAAAAGAGGGAGAAGTAAATCAACAGAATCCAAATCTTTATGCAAGCATGTCCTTTTGTTAAATATTGCCATTCCATGCCACTGAACAGAGAAGATAAAGTACGAGGTATATTAGTAGATGCTCACATTTTGCTCTGTTTAGCTTTAGTATTATATTCAATGATGTTATAAAGCAGAACAGTTTAAGAAATGTTGAATCCCTGGGAAGAAAACATGTTTCCCTTTGCAATTTTCATTATGTTTTAAATGAACTTAGTATATATTGAATGGAAGCAGTTTGAATGTGATAAAAAATGAAGCAGACGTTTAATATGTAAGCAAATAGACATATTCAGATTAGCATCATTGGCAGCAGTGAACATTGACATGATGACCCAGATGTTGTCCTTCTAACTTTTTTATATTTTTTGAGTTGATATTGCTATTCAAATTATTTGTATTTTTTTATTTTTTGAGCAGAGTTTTATGTGGCTTAGTCTGGCCTGGAACTCCTCCTGATCATCCTGCTTCCAATTCCAACTGTTAGGATATGCCAGCATGCCTGACTTTTGTGCTCCTGTTTTTGACATTTATTGACCATTTTGTCATGCCATCAAAAGATCTCTACTGCTGACTAATATCATATTCCAAATTCATAGTCATAAAATTTTAAGTATATGACATTTAAGTTAGAAAAGAGTTATCCAAACAAAGTATCTAACAGAAAAGGCAAAAGTGTGACAATTGATATGACTTATAGTCTTGAAAAATTTAAACTGCAATAAATTGCCCCAAATTAACTGCAATTCAATGTCATTTTGATTTCATAATAATACTTCGGGATTTTTAATGATCCACAAAACAATCATGCCGCTCACATGAAATAGAGGGGCTCACAGGCATCTCAAGCGTAATCCATTCAGTTCCAAGGAGCCTGAGGTACTTTTTCTGCTCAATTTAACATCACCACAGGAGATTTCACTATCCTTAAGATGTTGGGGGCCATAGGCAGGACATGAGTCCATTATCCAGAAAATTAGTTACATCACTGCTTGTTCTTCTTGAAATTACCACCTCACTCTAAAATGTCCACAAGAATAAGTGAAATGGAAAATACAAAAATTTGAATAAAATCAATTTTGCCTTCTTAAGTAGGAGCTGTAAGCTAGGGACACTTTTTTATTGTGGTAATTTAAATTGATATTATATAGTAAAATGTTATATTAATAAGCAATATTTTAAAAGATTTAAAAATTAAAATTTCAAACCAACAGGCTGATTTACAAAATAGTCCCAGTGTCACTGCAATAAGAATTGGCTATGTGTCCTAGTAGAGAATAAACAAATAACTTTAAAAATCATTACAGGAAAGATTATCTCTGCCTAACTCCCATCCTGGAAATCCCCAGATTTCCTTACCAACGTGACAATTTTTAGATTAGGAAAACAGGTGAGCATATGCTAATGAGGTATCAGATAACAGTATCAGGTCAATAACATCTGATCTCTGAGTTTAAATGTCTTGGAGATTATCAATCTATTTTGATATGTCTATGTGGAATGAGCACATATTACATTTTGTTCGCACTGAGATTTAGTATTTTGTTCAAGGGATAGAGCATGGTTAAAGACAAGACACACAAACAGCTCAGAGTACAGTTCAGCTGAGTCATTCTTACCTTTCACAGTTCCATATATACATTTTTCCCAAAAGTGAGGAACATCCTACTTCACTTTTACTTTTGTGCTATCTTAGTTACTAATTAATTTCAGCTCTGTATTCACATTTATTTCTGAAGTTATCATTAATATACTGGATTACAGAGTGGGTAGTAATTCAGAAAATGGAATTTATTAATAGTCGAAACTTTGTGTCATATTTGAAATTCACTATAGAGAAGTCATTAGGTTTTGTTAAATGTCTTGCCAAGGAATTCATTTGATACGAATGGAAGGACTATTGATGTGCTACTCTTAAATTTCGAGTTCTTTGACTTTGGGAATTTACCATTTCATGATGCTTGATTGTGCTTAGCCAGAGTTAAGTCATATTTTGCATTTTCAAGGATACAATACTACTGAAGGTAAAAATTCCTTGTAAGTTATGATCTTCCAAACCTATAAAATCGTGTTTACTTTTATTGACCTATAAAGTGGATGTTATTTACTGACACAAAAGTAAGTAAAATTAAAATATTTTTCTTATTCAATAATATTAGTTTTAAAGTATATGTAAATTTATTTACATGTTACAAGGAGAAAGGAATATCGAAAAATTGTACTATAGAGACAAAAGAAGTACTATAAGTTAAAAATGTAAAAGTATAGCTAATAATGATACAGAAAATACATTTACAAGACACAGATGAGAAAGCTTTCCTTCCAGTAGCTTCTTATAATGACAGTATTTATTTGTTCTTAGCTTCTTTATCAGTTTGTTTATTGTTTTTGAGATATAGTATTGCTATGTACCCTTGGCTGACCAGAAAATTAAAAAGCAGGCCAGGATGATTTTGAACCCACAGAGATCTTCTTGTGTCTGCCTCCCGAGTGCTGGGATTAAGGGTATATGGCACCATGCTATGTTCTAGCTTATTTACTACACATTTGTTAATGAATGCAGATGATGTGATTGATGACAAGTAGATTTATCATTGTTGAACACAAGACTTGATGCTGATTATAGCACATAATCGTAGTACCTGCTTCGTGGAAAGTTCCATTGCTGAAATAGTCGTTGGTTCCTAAAGAAGAAACAAAGGACATGTTTGGTAAAAGAGTAAAGTTAATAATTAATTAGTTAACACAGTTATCAATATAAGTTTTCAGAGAAGTAACTTCACTGTTGACAAGAAACTGCAAACTGGAGCTATGACACGTGAGAAAAAGCTGCATGGATGATTGCTACATGTGTGAAACAAACAATAAGAGCACAGCAGTAGCATCCAGATAAAAGTCCTCAGGATCCTACCTGCAGTTGAGCAACATGGGTTTACGACCCACTGAATGGCAGGAAAAAAGGGTTGCTCAGTGAGAGGGCTTAAAAGGGACTAAGACAACAAAATAAATTTCTAAAAATTTCCCCTCCTTGTCCTGTTTCTCTAATTTCACTCTTCTATTTCTTCTCTTATATCTGCATATAAGATTAAGACAGACACAACATGCTTTTCCTTGGTCCTTTGACTTAGCTGTAATTTCTTTTTTAAAGTACTCTCAATATTCTAACTGCTGTTTGATGCATCTCTCAGCCCTCTCCATGTAACTCTTCCTCTACATGACTTCCTATCCTCAGAAACAGAAATCACTAATGACCCCTTTACTGCTGAATGGACACATTCCTGAATGAGCAACTAGCTTGACATTCAGTATGTGACACTAGTGACTTTTTATTTTTTAAATACTGTCTATTAAATTCCATAATGCTTCAAAATTCGTTACTTATTGATTGCTTCTTTTTAGCCTTCCTCACAAGTTTCCATTCCTCACTGGTTGGCTTTCCCTTGCACATTAAGATTACTCTCCCTCAATGTCCTTGACCTCTTCTGCTCCCTGGTGCTACCTAATCGCAGATGCAGTTGCAGAGATACAGCTCTCTATTTCCAACCTGATGACTACATTGAGAACACGGTTTTCTTAATAAATTTTGCACAACCTGCCAGGTACATGGATGAAACAAATGATTTAGGATGTTTGTTAGCTTCCAATATGAATTATCAACCACAAAGATAATTATGATAAAAAAGTCAGTCAATTGTATCTACATAAAATATGATATTTACCATTTAATAGCACTGTCATGAAAATAAAGGCATTTCATGATAAATGGTTAGCATTAAAAGACATAGCAGAGGATGGTATTTAGGTTTGACAACATTGGAATGGGCTATCTAAAACAGAAATTAAATGTTAGAATAAATTTCTATAGAAACTTTTCTTATCCCACCAGTTTCACATAAGAAATATCTACATGACTACATAAACAGTTAACTTCATGTAGGTTTCTATCTAACAATTTTTTTAGCCAAGATGTAAGGAAAATGCTTCGTTGGCAGAGAAAAGGTTAACTTTTTACCTAGTGTAGCTAACATGTAAGGTCTGAGTTTTTTTTAAAAATAAAACTGATTAATAATTTATTTTATATTCATTGATAATACAAAACACAAAAATCTATAGAGAAAAAAGTCTCACATGTAAATTGTAAGACATAAAACAAGCTCTGAAACACACCATACTCTGTGGGGCCATATTATGATATCAAGAGTCTTAGATTAAGACTATAAAATCCCCTAATTAATATAACCTTGTTTATTATTTAACAGGAAATTAATAACAATTTGGAATATGTTCTATACTGCCTGTGGTTGGCTTTTAATACACAGTATATTACTATGAGATTCATTTAAATAATCCATATTTTTTCTGAGAAA